GAAGGTGTATCTGCTCCCAGGGGTGGGGGGGTGTTGGTGAGAAGGGTGTATTTGCACGCAGAGGTGGGGTGTGTGCACGCCTGGGTTGGTGAGATGGGTGTATCTACTGCCAGGGATGGGGCGGTGTTGGTGAGCGGGGTGTATCTGCCCCCGGGGATGCTGTGAGTGAGTGTGGGTGTTGGTGAGGAGGGTGTATCTGCCCCCGGGGATGGGGATGGAGGGTCATTGGTGAGGGGGGTGTATTTGCACACAGGGATGGGGTGTGTGAATGCATGTGTTGGTGAGGAGGGTGCATCTGCACCCGCGGATGGGATGCGTGAGTGTGGGTGTTGGTGAGGAAGGTGTATTTGCACCCAGGGATGGGCTGCATGTGTTGGCAGGGCGGTTGTTGGTGAAGAGGGTGTATTTGCACGCAGGGATGGGTGTTGTGAGTGTGTGTTGTTGAGGAGGGTGTATCTGCATCCAGGGATGGGGAGGGTATTGGCAGGGGGGTGTTGGTGAAGAGGGTGTATCTGCATGCAAGGATGCTGTGTGTCAGTGTGGGTGTTGGGGAGGAGGGTGTATCTGCACCCAGGAATGGGGGAGGGGGCGGTGAGCAGGGTGTATTTGCAGGCAGGGATGGAGTGTGTGCATGCCTGTATTAGGGAAGAGGGTGTAACTGCACCCAGGGACCAGGGATGGGTTTACCTGTTTGTGTGTTGGCTGGGGGGTGTATTTTTCCACCTTGTGTTTGTGTGTGTGTGTGTTGGTGTTGTGTGTGTGGTTGCATGTGTGCAAGGGGATGTGCTCAGGGGGGTATTACACCCACAGATGGTGCAGGGGTGTGTGTGTGCGTTGGTGGGGGTATGGTTTTGCCCCTGGGGTGTGCACAAGTGGGTGTTGGTGGGGAGCGGTTCCACCCAGGGGATGATGGGTGTGCAAGCGTGTCGGTGGCTCTGTGTGTGTGTAAGCAGGTGCTAAGGGTGTCTTTGCACCCAGTGATTGCACGTGTGGTGGTGGGGTGGGGGTGTTCGTGGGCCTGGGGGGTGGCAGTGGTGGGTGTGAGTGTGTGTGCATGTGTGTGCGTGTGCACACTGGGTGTGAGCTGGGAGGAGAGAGTGCGAGTGTGCATACGGGTGTTGCCTGGGCTCCCACATTGTGGGTGCCCGGTGGGGGAGCTGGCTGGGTGTGCGCAGGGCTCAGGTGTGCACGGGTGGTGGTGAGGATGCGGGGTGGGGGCTGCTGGGGGGGAGC